GGGGGGGGGGGGGGGGGGGGGGGGGAAGTTCCTCCTCCTCAATCAGATAAGAGACCTGTTAGAGGTATATGGGCTTTTAAGAACTGCTTTGAATCGGAGTGAGCCCTGAGGGGAATGAGGGGCGAGGAGACGCTATGCGACGTCTATGAAACTTTCGCCCCAGCTCAATTTTCAGGAAGAGTACGAATCGCCCGCTCATTGCCTACTTTCTTTTCACAATTCGAATGCGTAAATATGGAATCAAGATCATCATAATCAATTGGTAAATTGATTCAAGTATGCATCGACTTGTGTCTTCCCCCACATCCTCCATCCTTTTTAAAATTCCCAGACACAATTCCTAATAAGAGAGTTATGGATTTAAATTTTCAAATGACGGTAATTTTATTAAAATTAGCCTCCAAAACAAATACGTTAAAAATAAATTAGTATCTTTTTCATTTCTTTTTACCTCAAGCTTCCATTAAAACGATTTAATGCGCGGGAGGAAAGGCGTGAAATGAAAGAGATGAGCCCCTTGATGCCGCTTCAATGGAAAGCAAGCGTTCTTCCTGGAGGAAGCAGGAACTGAGGATTTCATTTTCACTTCATCATCTGGCGACCGAGGAACACTAACCGTATAGCCTTCAGTTAACGGAAATTCCAAGAGTTGCTTCCACCTAGGGGAAACATTTTTGCAAAGAAAGAGATGGCAAAGAAGGAAAGAGGATTCATTATTCTCTCTCATCCCACCTTTTGTAATTTTTCCCCCCTCTTTCATCTTCCTGTCCAGTGACCCACTATTGCATCTCATTATCATTTTATTCTTCCTTCCTCTACCCTTCATCCCAAGAGACTAAAAACGGATGCACCTAGGCATATGTATTTTTTTTTAATTCCCTGAACAAATTGACCAGTAAGCGACCTAATCTGGATAGCCGACGATTAATTAAAATTGCAGATTCATTTCTAATGAGAAGGGAAGCAATTATTGAGAGGAGACTTATAGGAAAGGATCGAATTTCCTCATTCTCTCTTATAACTAAGTCGTACATTTCTCCCTATAAATGACGGAAAACGAAGAAGGCATATCTGCTCCAAAGAGCACCTGGAGAGCCCAGCTGAGATCCCGAGAATGAGACTGGACGAACTTAGATATTGCATGAATGAGCATGAATGAATCTCATTGGAAGGGATCAAGAAATAGGGGGAGGGGAAGGGCAGTTTGATTTGAAAGTTCCATGTTCCCTTCTCGATTATTCCTCATATGTAGGTCCTTAGATGCAGGACGGAGTAGAAGGGGGAAACGGAAAATGGAAGAAAGCTAAGGGAGCAGCGGATTGAAATTCCCGTTTTGCTTCTCGAGTAGAGAGTCACTTCATGCACTTTCCCTCTTCCCTCTGTTCATTAGGACAAGTCTCTGCTACCACACTGCTAGCACAGTGGAGCAGAAGCATCCTTTAATACGCACTGACACCGATTCGGGAAAAATTCACTCTCCGATCTATCCAAATGCACAATGTAGTGGCATTGTAATAAAAAGTACTTGATGCCTGTTCATTACATTTTCCTCTGCCCAGTGTCTTCCATGGGGGAGGAAGAGGCGGATAACCGAAACGTTTATACAAAGACAGGCAGATGGCTTCGTTTTATGGCAGGAGTGTCAAACTCGATAAGGTTGGAGGCCGGATCGGAAACCGGAGGCCTTCAGGAGTGATTAGTGACCTCAATAAAAGCCTGATACCTATTCTTTTATGCAAAGAAGCTGAAATTTGCAGTACTTTTCTGTAACTGACTGTTAAAGAAGACTTTAACGAACCGAATAAAATGAAATAGTGGGCCGAAATCCACCCAAGGGCAGCAGTTTGAATGTTTTTTTTTATGGGATGCAGTAGAGGGAATCTCGCTTCTCCTTCATCTCCTCTCTTGGAAATAGAACTGACTCTCCCGCTTTCTCATGAGTAATTGAGACTCCTTTGGATTATCTGACATTTTCCCCTCTTGTGAACCTTACCTGTTTTTTAAAATTGGAAGCATTCATTTTCATACTGGCCAGGTCAACATTTTCTTTCCGTCTTCGAATCTCATATTACCGTTAATAAGGGGCTTTCTTGAATCCTCCCTTGCACTCCAGGAAAATTGCCTAGGGTGGAAGTGCAAGAGGCAAGTCAGTAGCTACACCAGACTGGGGAAGCTAAACCAGGATGGGGGGAGGGGAGTAGAAACTGTCTAGACGAGAAATAACGCTTTGCTCTTTCTCGTCTCACTGACTGGCCTGTTTCCATATGAAAAGGGTACTTTTCCATCGCTGGAGCGAAAACATTAACGTCGAGTGTAAAACCAAAACTTCTACTCTCCTTGCGAGCTATTAGTTACAGCAACCAAGCTTTGGATCAATAATAGGTCCCCTATTTCCATCAGCATTCCGTCACCTGAAAACACTCAATTGCCATTATAAAAATTTAATAGCGGTCTGCTCCATTACATTCGAGTGAAGTTCTCGTTCATTAAGTGAGACAGGGCAATGGAATTGGATGAATAAGGGATGATATCGAGCTCTGCAGGGGCATGGATAGGCTGGATTTCATCTTGACCTGCGGATCAGCATGCACGCAATTTTCAGGTCGGGTAAGGGGAATACCCCACCAAAAAACGAGAGATTTGAAGCTTCGTGACATAATTGGGTCTGCCTGATCGGCCCGATGAGATCCACGGGTAGAAAACGATTCACCCGACAGGCGATCGAGTTTTGTTTAGGTTGTGGTCTTGATTTAAAATGGGCTGAGCAGACAGACAGATGGGTAGTGAGACAGAAAGACAGAAAATAAGAGACAAAGAGAGAGAGGCACAAAAGTCCTCTGTTATACCCACATGCGGCCTCTATGATACGAATTGCCTTAGGAAGAGCGGGTTTGAGTCCGCAAATGATAGGGCTTGCAACACACCGGCGGTCCTATCCTTCCTCTGTTTCGCCATTTTTACCGGGTTTTCGTTCATGGGGCTCAATCAATTATTACCATGTTCGTTCACTCACTTTCATTGTCGACCATTCCAACTTAACAAAATCGCAGGTGCAGAAGCTTGATTCGAGAAAAAGACCTGTGGTCTGGGGCAAGTCGTGACTTGACTTGCCCCAGAATGGACAAGGGAAAAAATATTCATTGCAAGAATTGCAATTACAAGATCTTGCATTACAAGAATTCAAGAGCTACCATAACTGCATTCAACCTTGGAAAAACATTTTCTCTTCCTGTTATGTCGGGATACACATTGAGACCCCTTCTGACAACAAAACTGCTGTCAATAGATCTTAACTGTGGGATCTTCCATATTCACTTTATTTCATAAGCCATCCTCCCAAAGGTAAATTATATTCATACATTGATTAATGTGGAGAGAGGTGAAAGGAGAGGTGGAAACAGAAGGATTTCAATCACACCTGGATCAAGGGGAGGCAATCCTGTCAATTCTCGATCCATTTCCCACAATATGAGCGCAGTGGTACGATAGAAAAAGACAGGAACCTTTCCTCGAAAAAAGATTTTCTCAGGTTTCTCCACGTTCCAGCGGATCTGGCGGTTCCCATACATTAGAGGCAGCTTCTCAACCAACATCCATGGGGCATTTCCTGGCGCTAAGGGAGAGGAATGAAGTACAAACAATTATGGATATAACATCATAAATCTGAAATTTGTTGACTAGTTTTCAAAGTTTTCCTGTCTCCTTAGCTAGTGAACCGATTAAATGCATGTCCTGAAACAAACACCAACCACTGTCAATTTCGAACTGAAATACTCCAGTTCCTTCCCAAAATTATATTTCCCTTTTTCTTTTCCCTTGAAAGATATTCTGCGAATTTTGACTCAGAGTCCCAATATCGGGAGTCCCGTTTTCTGTCTGTCCCACATACGCAAGAAGAGGAGATGGGAGTAGATACTTTCGGAAGAGAGAGAAAGACATTGAAAGTTGAAGAAAGCTGAGAGATCGAAAGGGCATTCCTGCATATATCGGGAGGAACAGAACAGGTCGTCAAAAAAAAAAACAGGACTAAAATATGAGATATGTTGAACCCAATAACTTGCTACATATTCCCTCTTTTTCATTGAAGGGCCTATTCACCCCCCATCCTCCACAGTCAGTCTGAGTCCGGTTTTAATGCGATGAACTTCCTAACGAGAGAGTTGCAGACATGGAACCAAGCAACGCGCATATTACTGCAAGAATTTCTAACAGTTTGAAAATAGATAGATGCCAGGAAATCCTTGGAGAAACAGCAAATTGGGAAAAGGGAAAACTATTTATCAATAAGATCGAATCTAGAATTTATAAGCTTTCCATCTCAAGCAAGCGTGGATAAAAAATATAGAGATATAGAATTGTGTAGCTCCTGTAGATGTTAAAGCACGTGCTTCAAGAAAAAATCACAAACCGGAATTGGAGATTATTTGGTTCTATAATGAAGTCAGTTTCACCCCTCCCTCAATCTGCCTTTCATAATAACTTTTAGTTTGCTCCATCCTCAATTTCATTGGGGTCACCCATGCATAGTTTCTCTGCATGACCACAAAATAATATGAGAAACATTGCGAGAGGACGACCAAATGACTCAATACAAAATCCAGTGAATCTATCCTATAAAATGGCTTTGGTAAGTGCGACGGTAGATGTCGTAATAAGAACGATAAGAATATTCTGCCATATGCATTATATATTGATGCAATGAGAACTTGGACAGAAGATGAAGCAGGAGTCAGGGTCACATCCTGTGGGAAGCAAGACAGCTGGACTTCATGACCGAGTCTGGAAAAAAATGTAACTCATGAAACCCAGATAGGACTGGCTGGAGTGAAAGAATCCCATTCGGCACAACAACGTTGTGTCGACGTTGAAAAAAGGTTGATGGCAATGTGGCCTCAATGTTGAGAAAAGGTTGACTTTTCAACGTAACATGTTGCCATGATGTTGCCANCGGTTAATTATGAATAGCTAGCATTTCACTGATGTTGATTTTTCGTCGAATTCTCAACTTCAACCAAGTCTCAACGTTTCAACCTATTCTCAATGTTGATACAACGTTCTTGTGCCGAATGGGATGTACCTAATGACCCAAGACAGGGCCGTCTGGAGTGAAAGGATGTACCTCATGACCCAAGAATGCTAAGGGGAGCTATACCCCTCTATAAATAAGGGCAAGAATACGTTTTGGTTCAAATCATCTCCCCATCATCATCTTCCCATCATCATCTCCCTACCTGTCATTTCCATCCTTTTTATCCTTTCCATCAATTCCATCCTTCTCATCCTTCCCATCCTTTCCATCATTTGCATCACTTCTATCTTTTCCATCCTTTGCATCCTTTTCATCATTTCCATCCTGCCCATCATTCCCATCATCTCCATCCTCTCTGAGGATTCATCCCAGAAGAGCAGGAACCATCCCCATCTTGCATCCACTTCACCATTAGGGGCAAATGTATCTGAAAAAAAACAGTCCCAATCACTGCATATACTATCATAATTAGAATGAACACATTAATGCATATAGTCACAGATTGGTGGACTGATTCTATGATATTGGACCTAATGACAATGAGTGTAGAAGTGTCAAGAATTCCTTTTGAAGCAATTGGAAACTTCTAAATAGCTTGAATAATAAATTCTGGAATAAACATAGTTCTTAGCAGGCATTCATTCGTTACATGCTGGAGGAGGTGACCATAGGAATTTTGTAAAACCTCCAAAGTCCACTATTTTATCCCATAATCAACCATTGCATGTATATATGCCTGCCACCTTCCCAAGTAACACAGTATGTTGATGGAGCTTCTTATGCAACATTTAGGAATTTCTTAACCTTGCAAGTTGATGTACAACATTGATGAAACGTTGCTTCAACGTTTTCACTTGGAATATTGCTGTGACACTTCTATTAATGTCATTACATTTGCTGTCAACATTGAGAGAATGTTGACACCCTTGACATCGACAATGTAGTGACAACATTCTGATACAACATGGACTTAGGAGTTTTAGAGAATTGTATGGTGCCACGAGATGGAAAGGTAGGTCTTGCATTTCGTACAGTGCATGAAAGTGCCTTTCTCCCTCTTCCTGGATTCGTCCTGTACAAGAGTTATTAGTATCTTGCCAAATGTCTCACATTGTCTCATTGGAATCAATGAATACACACACTTAACCAGTTGTTATCCTCATATTCGAGACAGATTCATGTTGCCAAGTTAAAAAAGAAGCTCATATTCCCACTAAGAACCCTTTCCGAGAACTCATCGATTACGTCCTACAGGAAATTAAAAACGATGGTGGAGAGTCTGTTATCTCAATCCTTCATTTCCTCATCTGGAGAACAAGATGAGGAAGAGAACTGAATTTCTTGGGACACCTCATAGAACATGGTGGGTGAACTTTTTCCTGAAATTTACCCTATTTAGCACATCCAAGGGGAGATTACCTCAATAAATGTACAATGTCTCCAGTCTATACATGATAAAGATACTGTATTATGCATGGGTAGGGGTTTTACCAGTACAGGCATCGTCCTGTTTACGGTACGTCTGGGCAGTTAGGTATAGTAAATGGTTCGAAATTATGAAATCAATTATTCGACATTAGCAGAATATCGGTCCAGTTCCGAGCCAGTAAAGCCAATGCTTTCCGAGGTAGTAACGCCAATATAGGTCCAGATTAGATTCCACTGAAGATTCCAGTTTTCCATCATCATTGCAGCAACATAAGTTCTGAAACGCTTCTGCAACGTATACATAATGAATGAGTAACGATTTGCAACGCCAATGCAATGCTCTTTCTCATCATTTGAGCAACGTCGACGTTTCGGACATTTACACATAGAAGCAACAATGTTCATCAACATTTCCTAAACGTTGTTGGAATATCTTGAGTTACTTGGGTATTCATCGCAGGTAGAAAACAGTGCCATCTCTTGGCTGTTTGGATAACTGGTAGTTGTCATTACCATAGAGCGTATGTAGGTGTCACTGGAGAGAATGTCAGAAAATCCAGTTCCAAGTAGCACCAGAGCTTTTAATGAATGTTCAATGAACGTTCCATTCAAGGTGTTGCTAACGTTCTATGAACGCCCTTGGGAACGTTCCTTGACTATTCAACTGTCCAAAATTTAGAGCAATCAAAAACACGTAAAATCATGCATTCCTGGAACGTTCATCCAAAACATAAATGTAATATTCCCAAAGAGATGAAATGCTTCCATTTTTCTCAAGTAAACTCTATTCCTTTGATTGGGGTCATAGGCAATCGGAACACCAATTATTGTAATCGGAAGTACTATCGTTCCTCATTTGGGAATGATAGTACCTTCATCTTAGGGTGCGAGCTCGGATACTTTTGCAAGCTCGGATATCTCTCTTCGATATTAATAGACGAGGTAGTACCTATTACCTTTCTTCACCCCCTTTGCATAACAAAATTTGAACTACTCATATTCGTCTCTGAGAGCATCAACAGAAAAGAAACTGGCCAAGTTTCCTCCTCTCTTTACACAAAATAACTCCAGCAAATTTGAAGCTCCATCTCCCTGGGGTCGCGAAGAACAATTTTTTTTGAAGATGTGAATTTCATTCCATATTTTTTTCCTCCCCCCTTGGTAGCCACTCCTGGGAAGGGAGGGGGGGGGGGGGTTTGGAGGAAAGAGACCAACCATAATAAAGATATTGACTCATAGATGATGAAACTACCCTTTTCCATGTTTGTGATGGACCATTTCCCCCTTTAAAAAAAATGAAACTGGCTGTGTTCATTTAAGCATAGAGTTCTGGCTCCGTCCATCTCCCAGTGCTGCCGGATATCTTGCCGGAATTATGAAATTATGTCCGGATTCAAGATTGGTTGAACCTTTGTTGTGGCGTCTGGATCTTCTGTTTTCTAATGTATGAGACATTTTTGTGTCGAGTTCATGAGATGATCTGAGAATGGAATGCTGGTTTGCAGTGATCGATAGATGTAGTGGGATTCAATTGAGTCTGGTCCTACTGAACCGAAACTCGATCGCCAAACCGAGCTTTGCAACCCCACCTGCAGGTCGTGTTGGGCCGATCAGGCTGGCCCGCAGCCCGCTCAGGCCTCTAAGCTTCAGAACTCAGTTTCGTCCTTTTTCAAGCGGCTCTATCGCCTCTGCTGAGGCTTCCAGCTATCCCATGAAGTCACGTTCGTGTTGGGCTGTTTAGTGCTATCATAGTACGTGGCGTACAGTAACACCTCTAGCAGAAGATGTCCTGTCGGGTTTTTCACATGAGCTGATGCCGCAAGGGTCAGAGGGTGCATTCCAGTGTTGCAGGCTGAATGTCACTCCTTCTGAATAGGCTTGCACGTGCAGTCGTATGAACATTTCAAAATAGGGTCAAGCATCCCTGCTTTACAATCTGCGTCGCAGAAAGACGTCCTGTTGGCGGGGCAGTCGTCTTCCGTTTCTCCTCTGGATCGCTGCTTCGCTGGTCCCCTATTCGGGCACGACTGTTCTCGTCCTGCTGTTTCTCTGCCATCGCATCTGACCCTCCTGTTCTCTGCCGTTGCATCTGACCCTCCTTCGCCCCCCGCATCTGGGATTCGTCCCGAAAGGACCCTCCTCTTCTTTCTCTGCATTTCCATCGGTATGGCTCTTTCAACAAAGTTATAACATCCTGATTTTATCTGAGCCAGCGAGAAGACTGACCAAATGGACACCACTTCTTGACTTGGTCCTGATGTTGGGAGACGGAGTTTTGCCTTGGAGCGCTGGTGCTTGGTCCTGGTAACCTTCACTCTTACGTTCTCGCCTGTTGCCGGTACCTGAACTGTCAGAAGTCAATTCCTGAGCACTCCCTATAGTTACTGTGATGTGATGTTGGAATAGAGGAACTTTATTTTCCTGTCTTCTTGTTGCCTTATTCCAAACGCCTGGAACGGACCCAGTGCAGGTGGTTGTCTGCAGAAACGGACAACCACGCCTGTGTTACAGTACCTCTGCCAGCTACTTTAGGGAGTCTGGTCATCTGGGGCCATATTCTATTATTGATTTGAATGCCATTTCCCTTTTAATATGGTGTTTTGCTGGTATTTGTCCTGTTGAAATTCATGTCTGAGGTTGAGCATTTTGCTTTCTTTACGATTTAAATTTAATACTGCTCTTGGTCTGTTGAAAATCACATGAAGGGACTAAAGTAAGGCCAATTTGGGGCTTCTGCCTAATGCTTGCATGGACATGGTAGCCTTATATTCCTGAAAGAAGTCTTCCATGCTACGCACATTTGAGTCATTTTTATTCAGGGTTCACGTAAGTATTGACTCTAATGCCGTGACGCTTGCTCATGTGCGTTTCCAGATCTTTCAGTTGACAAGTTACTCAACTACGTCTCTTCCTACAAAATATTTGAGACGTCAAAAGAAGTAAGGATGTACCAAGTAGACAAGACAAGAATCCTAATACGACCACTAAATAGAAACATCTTTATAAAAAGACTGTGGCATAGGTTTACATTTCATTACCTCTTTATAGTGCTCCTTAATCAGTAAAATGTTTCCTCCTTCATTCACTTAGACTACTGTTTTTACTCTGCTTTTCTATACTATAGGTCCCTGCAACTCTGACTTTAGACAAAATGTGATGCTTGTTTTGATAGGCTTAGTAGTACAAGTGTAGACCTTGACAGAATCTAAATTATCTCCTGTGGCCCTTTTGCAGGGTGAGGCCTGTATTAACTCAAAACATTCCTGACTAGAACCCTTTATTAGGGAACCAGTGATGGGAGCCAGTATTGGACTAAGGACTTCACTCTGATTCCTTGCATTCATGAATGCATATGATGCTCACACTTGCAGACTTCTTAAATGTTCTCAATATATTTTCCAGGATATCAGATGACTCCTTTCAGATGACAAGGGAGGGCCCTGGAGTGCCAGTGTACTGAATGAGTTTGAAGAAAGCAGTCTTGTCCTGAAGACAAGAGACTGTCTTTTCACTCTTGTTGTGTCACTTGGTGAAACACTTCAACAGGCACTTGTAGAATCAACTACTGTGATTTTTATTTTCATTCTCTTGTACTTAAGCATAAAAAGGGACTTGAGCTGATAGGTTTTGGATCTGTCTCATTAATGATGTGCCTGTCTCTTCAATGATTTTGGCTTCCATTTTCTGGAAAAAGAATACAAATCTGATACTCATTCTGTTTTGTTTCTTTTATCATGTGGATTTGGCATAATGTAAGTGGGATGATAGTGTTCCTGGATGGCAATGGTGGGGATGCAGTGACTTTTTCGGGAATGAAGGCAAAGTTGTGTCTGTTTCACTTTCTGTAAAACTAATGGTGGCAGAATACCAAATCAGATGCCTATGAATAATGTATCTCCCCTCCCTTCACAATTTTTTGCTCTTCCCATTTTACTGATAATTTTGGTTATGAAAAAAGAAAGGTGGAAAGGGTTCGGGCTTTCCCTGGAATATTTATGTGCAACCTTTTAAAAGTTGGATGTAGACCCCTCAGAAATGTTGGGCTTTTTTCCCTTTTAGTGGGCATTTTTCCCTGAAAGGAAGGAGGCCACTCATGGTTTTGTCTTGTCTGTCCCAGTTGTCTGAAGACGATCAAGAAAATATTAGCCCGATCAAATTGAAAATTGGTAAGCTAGTAGGTATGGAAAATATGCAGGCTGAGTTTGTTTTGCTGAATTTGCATAAAAATTTGCATTTTTATTGCAAATTTTGGTTTTGAAATTTCCTCAGGTGTAAATACCTGTGAGCCCTTCAGGATGTAGACCTCAAGGCACATGCACATACAACCCAGGCCTTGGTTCCAGTGTTTTGTCAGCAACCAGAGCTGTCAGTTCCCCATCAATCTTCTTGGTGGATGGATCCCACTAGACAACCGGAGTGGGAGCTAGCACCTGTACATGGTACCCTCCCATCATTTCATGGGCACCGTATGTCTGTGTTTACCAATTCTAACTTGGAAATGAGTTTTGTGATGGTCATGGATTGGAAATAGATGCAATTTTTTAAATTAAAAGTGAAAATGAGGATCCCCTTCACTGAAAGGAGTCCCACTTGTTGTTTGTGCTTGCCCAGCCTGCTTTTTTATTATCAGCCTACCATATTATTTTCACTCACTATTTCTCTGGTATGTTTTCCTTCCCATGCTCCTTTGTCCTCCCACCTGCTCATCCTCATGTGTCCCCACGAGTCACCATGGAGTTTTGACTTCTATCCCTTGCACTCACTGCCTGCACCACCTTGATTGCCCTTTCTGTTATACCTTACTTTTTCCTCTCCACCTATGCTTTTTCTTTTCCTTTTATATTTCATGCACGTAAGATGGGTAATGTTTCCAGGAACAAAGTTTACCCTCATATGGAGGTTCATCCTCCTTTCTGCTTCCCTTCTAGATGTGAGGATGTACTTTCTCACTTTTTCATTCTTCCCCAACAAGTCACTGTCTTTATCATCTTTGAGCTCCGCTCCACAAAGTTTCTACATTCATGAGAGACTCTGAATAATGAGTCCATGCATCATCTTACTTGATGCTCAATTGCAAATCTCAGTTGGGACCCCCTCCCAATCTTATCTCTGCTTTACCGTGTGATGGCCTCCCACATTTTTATATTATTGATGCATTGGATGGAACTTATTCCATTGGATGATAACAGCGTACTCTGCATCATGTCTCTGAACTACAATGGGCTGGATTCTGGCCTTGGTATATGCGATGAAATAAATGTTCTTTAAGTGGGTGAAACTTAAAAAATTTTGATACATGCTTTCCACAGGAAACTTTTAACCAAGAAGTATGAAAAGTTATGGGTTGCTGAATGAGGAAGGAGTATTATTTTCTCTCTAATATTGGACAAGCAGTAGCTGTGAAGCTGCCATCGTGGTGAACCCAAAGCCAAACGTCATACCATCTACTTCAGATGTGACAACTACAGAAGACTTCTTGAAATCTTGAAGGTAATGTGTAACCAAGTACCTCATACAATGACTTTTAGCTATGTTCCAGCTGATTTAGATGAACTGCAATTTTTCATTAATGTATTTTTTTGAAGAGGTTGAGGTATGGGAGGGTTTACATGTAAATATTTGTGATTGAAACCACATGCTAGAGTTCTGCTTGATAAGTGAGAGTCTCCCATTCTGAAGCTAAAAATACTACAAATAATGCAAGATGATTGGCTAAAAATAAGGTTTTTGATGTCATATTTTGTCAAGATTCACAAACCTATATGCTTCAAAATCATTTGTGACGTTATTGAGGTCTTCCCATGTTTAATATATTTTGTGAAGATTGTTCCAGTCACAATTATTGGCAAAAGTGCATGCTGTGTTATTTCAGTGGGGTGCTGGCAGAGCCTATATGCATAATTCATTTGCTATTGTAGCTTGCAATTCACTATTTTAAATTAACAGGGCTAAGAAACAGGGTTTCTTCAATACTGGAATGCATACTTATACACCCGTCATGAATTTTTTGCAAAGGATTCACAATATTAGCCCTCTATTTAAAGGGAGTCTCAAAGTGATCCCTTTCCATTCCTAGCCTCTGCTTGTGCTGCCAGGCGGAGACCATGCCAACTGTGTCTGTATGCTGTTTTCACATTTGACTCATGAATACACATATAACACAGAGACATCCAAGGGATGTCTTTATTTCCCTTAATTGGACAACTTTTCCGAAGGTATGGATAACTTGTCACAGTAAACATTTCAAGTTTCAAGTCTTTAATAAAAACTGTTTTTCACAAACCATAGAAGGTACAATTGCAAATTATTCTGAATTGTTTGACCAACTGAGCATACATTATCTTGGAAAATACAGATCATAACATGGGGTTTTGTTTGAATGCTAAGGAGAATGTCATTGAACCTCATTGGTTTGTATCTTTTTTTAATGGCTTCAATAATTAATGGGAATATTCATCAAGTTTTCAGATGAGCTTGTGAAGTATGAATATTCCCTGGGATGTCAAGCAGTTTATACCAGAGGGAATCAAGGTTGCCCACACAGATTACAAGTTATTGATGCCTTATCTCGGGAATCCAGAGGGTCAAAGCTAGGAAAATTGGCATAGGTTTGTTTCTCTGAAAGGTGAAGCTGCTTTTCAATCTGGCAGATTTGCTTGACCTTTGGAAAACACAGCTGCAAAACTAGCACCTTTGGCACAAGTCATTGTAAGTAATTCAGGGGGCAACATTGGTGTTATAAAATTACACATTCAGCACTTTCAGCTTTTAAACGAAGTCATGAAATTTGATATACTCATAGAAAATTTAATAATGATACCTATTTACTTCAATCATAGGACTTCTCTAAAAACAAAACTGCAGTTGACTGCATTAAATAATATTTTTCTTTGCTGAAGTATCTCAGTTAAAATTTGCACAATTTTGAGAAAGGATTCTTGATTTCATCATGTGACTTCTGGCTAAAGAAAGATTGAGGTTATTTGGATCCATTGCCTAAAGGCACCTTAATCTGCCGCAGTCCCTAACAGTGCCTCTGTCAACCATAAGTCTCATTTTAGTTCCAATTTTATTCCCTTTAGTTAAAGCACTCTCCCTCCCAAAAGAAAACCCCACAAAGGGACTCAGCATCAGATGAAGGGACTGGAAGCAATTACCACCTTGATGAGAAATTGCACCAATTTTCAGTGTTTCTTGTGGTATGAGGATGCACGGTTTTCTTCCAAAGATGCCCTGCGGATTTTCATTTTATTGGATCCTTTGTGATGTGGTAGCAATAACTTTTCAGCTCTAGCAAAAAAAAACTTTAAAAAAACCACCCCCCTCACAAATATTGAATATATAGGTGGGGCACCTATATATTTGTGAGTGGGGTGGTTTTTTTTTGCTATCTTCTCAGAAGTCAGGTTTTCCCTGAAATCAATCAGCCTTCTTTGAACTCCCTGCAAATATAGCAAATTGTGAACAATTACTGGAACAATACTCCCCGAGAATAAATTTTCCTGAAGTGAGAATTTTCCTGATGTTAGCACCATGAGAACTGAGGAAAGTTTTTCTTGTGTTGAGGCATCTGCTAACAGATATGTAGTCAGAAAACAGAAAGGGAAGAAGAAAAAGAGACCAGGTGTAGATTTATTTCTTTTGCTTTGTCTTGACATGTTTAATTCCAAGGGTAATGTTCACCAATGTTCATCTCATACTTAAGTGATAGCATCCGAAAATAGCACAAGGAGTCAGAAGTATGCTACATATCTTACTTTGAAATCATTGAGTAGGAAGATAGGTCCTCAAAAGGCATGTGCACATTCATGTTAGGGTAATTACTAGCAAATCACAAAATGTGATGTATCATGACTGCTGATGTTGGAAGGGCATGTGCAAACATTCTGTCATCTTAATCCTTTCCATGCTGCTTTTAAAAGAGTATGTGACTTTCAAAAGAGTGTGACTTTCAGGGGTTGGAATAGAAAATGATGTGGCATGAATCAGAAAAACTAACTTTTTTCATATCAAAACGTGAAAGTTCTTTGTCATCATGTACTCATCTTCAAGGTAGATAGTAGGATTTGTATTAAATTTGACAATATTTGTTAGGCTATGCAAAGTTTTAATAAATTTGCATGAATCAACTCAAATTAGCATCTTCATACAATTTGGGTAGCAGAGTTGGAAGTAGGTGCACTGACAGTGGCTCATATGGCAATGGCTTCAATGACCTGTTTTGTAATGCAATGGTATGCTATATAATTGGTGCAATAAGGACTTTACTACTTGGAGAATAGAGTTATAGTCCTTCAGTTGTTGACAACTCAAAAGGAACCAACAAGAAGCATTCAGAACATCAAAAGAGCAAGTTTTTACAAGCAACCCATGGATAGTAGATAGCAGAGGTGAAAGAAGGGAGACAAGATATATCACAAGCCTAGTTTGGAACTTAATTCTCCAGGTGGTATTCCCTTATTACACCCATCGCAATGTCCGTTCCCCTAAAAGCAGATTATCATATTTACTTGAGTATGGTGTGCTACTATGTATATAGTGCACCCCCAATTTTGATCCCTAAATTCATGTAAAGTAGATTCCCTGTGTATTAGACATACTCCCACTTTTCGCTGCATGAAGTCTTTGGGGACAAGGTAAGTGAGAAAGGTGGATAGTTGGAAATGAAGCTGGCCAAACCTACTTTCTAATTCACTGCCATGATCTTTAATGATAGCACATATTCTCACTATATCTCACCATCGTGTCTAACATTAGTTTCATAATCCATTAAAATGGATGGGAATGTATGTGAAGTTTCACTACAGGAAATAAGTCCAAGTTGAGGAGGCTAAGGAATTGGGCATCCATGCAAAATAGATTGTAGGTATGACATCAGGGAAAGTTGCATGGACAAATAGATTAAGGAGAAGGCTAAGTTAAACCTGGCAATACAAATTCTCATTGCTTTTCACAGGAACATGCAGGCAAGAAGGATCTCTCATAGGACATTCAAGGCTTTACAAGGATGAAGAGTGTGATGAAGGATGCAAGCTGGAATTTCTCTACATTGGAAGACTGCAGTGGGCCAGAAATTTCCATGAGAAATGATTTATTCTCTATGTAGCTTGTTTTTTTTATCTCTTCTCTTTCAATTGACTGCAGGCACTGTTTCGATCTCAATAAATGACCAGTGAATTACAAGCATTTAAAAAAAATTTTTTTGGAGAAAAACATTTTCCCCCCACGTATGAGATACAGGAAAACAGTAGAAATTTTTTTTTTAAAGTGCATCTGATACATGAGTCAAGTTGCTGATTCCTTATATGACGTATACCTCCAGACATTCTTGTGCTTCATTTGATGGTGATGGCAATATTTGACTTGAGTTGTGTGAAACATTGCTGAATGTAGTGACCAATGTTGTCAAAATGCTCAATTGCTCTATCTTGTTTGGTAAAGTAAATTTGAAGTATTCTTAGATATTCAGGCGTTTCTGCTCTAGAGTGTTACATGGCTCTAAAAGCTGATATAATTAAAAAAACAAATAACTTCCCTTCATATTCAGTTGTGAGGCTTCAAACTTTGAAGGTTACTTATGACTTACTCTTACCTGTTTCCATGCAACGATTCTAAGAAAAGATGAAGAGAAGAAATGAAAAGTGGTGCTCACAAGAAGTTCTTTCTCCAATGAGAATAATGGCCCTCTTCATGTGATCTGCAGCACGTTGGATTAGAGGGAGTGGGTCCTCGGGATCTCCCTCTCCTAAAATGTCCTGCTTGGGGTGAGACAATTATGGTCACTAAATTTTTCAAAGTAACTCCAATGGCTTTATTCTAACTGTTATGAACTCTGGATGGATTCAGGTATTGCTTCCTGCTGCATTGATGTTTATTAATCTTCACTGATTAACCCTTTCCAACTCAATGATGCCTAATGGTGTAAATATCATTGTCGAATTTTCTTTAACGTTCCAGTCAGAATCATGGAGTTAGTTTCTGTTGGGTGTTTTCTTTAACGTTGGGACCCAAGAAAGTCATTTTCAGTGCTCCTGGCTTCTGAAGACTGAATTTCCCAATAGGTTCTTAACACGACTGCTATTCCCTTGGGTGGGTGGTTACTTTTCCTCACATGAAGTAAATAACAACCCTTGGAAGGCATTCTGCAAGTTCTGGAATCTAAGATTAGACTTTGATGCTTGAGTATTCAGTTAGATTTGGCTTAAGAGTAATTCTTATAACATTGTTTCTATTGTTGGCTAAACTTAGTGCAGAGGCTGACTACCATGACCATGCTAAAATTGCATCGGGATAAGAGGCTGTGAGGTCTGTGGTGGAGGTTCAGAGATGGTGGTTGAAGGAAAGAGAAAGGCACGCAACTCTTGATCCTAAGATGCTCAAAAACTGCCTGAACGATTTGATAACAGCCAGTTCAGTTAACACGTTGGCGACAATGCGTCCTGATGGCAGGATGCAGGTTCCAAAAAAAATTCCAAAAAATTCAACTTAAAAAAAAACTCGGAAAAAACTGTTTTCTGGGACCATGCGTCCTGATGGCAGGCCGCATTTTTCGACAAAAAAAATGCGCGTGGTCCTACGCGGCGGACAAGCAAAAATAGGCTGGTCGTCAACGTGTTAAAGATACCATGCAGAGTGGAAGACTGTCAGCACCCCAAACTCCTGAAAATGCTGGTGAGGATGAAGGTTGTAGCCTGTCAGAAGCCCAGATCTAACCACTTGTGACTTTCTCACATGGGAATGAGCCAAAGAGAAAGTGCATGTATCAAATCCATGTGATTTTGAACAACTGGAATGAAAGATATGTGAAGTGTTCAATAACATCCAAATGGAGTTTTTTCACATTCTTGAGAATGTGATGTTGCATATAAGAAAATGCCTGGAAAATGCAGGATGTGATGTGCAAATTTTATGGCATATTAAATGGAAGAGAAGCTGGACATGCTTAGAACTAAGTGAAGCTTTAAAGATTACTCAACCTGTTCCAGATAAGTTTACAATGGAAAGTTGTGTTTGTTGTGTTCAGAAATAAAAATGGGGTACCTATTTATGGGACACCTTGTACACTCCATGGAATTCTGTCAGATATCCCCTTAGGAAAAGTGAGAAGTTCTAGGTATTATTTGTGGGGATATAAAAAATCAGAGTATATGGACTTCTCAAGGATGTTCCTTTCTTTCTGAGCAGATTCACTCCCTTACATGCGTAGCAATGCTCTAAGTTCTGGCAAATTTCTAATTGACCTCATAGCACTTGGAAAGTTATTGACATTGACCTATTGGAAAGTAATGGTAATGATTGTCCACAACTTGAAAAACCCCAAGAGAGGAGATACTTCCTAATATTGACGATATACCTAAATTAAAATGAGGACCTCAAAATGTTCACTCTCCTTAATGTAACTTTTCCTGGCGCACAGTACTATAATCATTGCTAATCTTCTGTACAAATGAAGTGGAACAAATTGATAGAATGGATCTAACTTGGGAGATGAGGACAAGTGGGAGATATTTCATGTTGAAATTATGGACCTGTTATTCATGTCTTCCATGCCCAATTAGTGAATAGATCCCTCAAAACGTGCTGATATCCCTGGAACTGCCCCCATTTCCTTTCATCTTCAGATGACACCCCGATCATATCATCAGTTGAGCACCTTTTAACATTGAAATAGTGGTCTATCAATATTGATTCTGTTCCTGGTTATCCATAAGAAGTTGACCAAATATGTCTGGAGGACATCCTTTTGGGCATATTGAGAAGTGTTTGACACACTTAGTCTTGAATGAATCACTTTTGGATTTTAAGAAGAATATAACAGTAGATGTCTAAAAAGTACCCTAGTTTTCCCAAAGATATCCTCCTGAAGTGCATGGGAAACTGTTAGACTGAAGATGTTAGAATGGCACATGGCAGCCTTGGGAGAATGTGTCTTACTTGGGACTATCCCTGGGATGTTACTGTGCTGTGTGGGATATTTATGGATAAGTGACCAGATGTTTGAGCCTGATATTTCATATGCACTGTGTATACTAATCAGTTTTCCAGTTACATCTTCCCCAAGGTGAAAAATGTTCATGTTATTCCTCTGAAGGTATGAAATTGTTCAATCATACATGAACAGTTAAATTATTCATTTTTGATTAGTTTCTGTACAATTCAATAAGAATAAGGACAGGAACATTATGAGGTTCAGAGGATATTAAGAAATCTAAAAAGTTTTGCTGTGGTGTCTGTTGCCTCTTGAACTCCAGCAAATGCCACAGATTTAAACATGTTTCCTTTTTACCTGATATCAAAATTTTCTCCCCATTGAATGGAGTTTCCTGAGCAGTATTTTCATTTACAGAGCATATTTAGTGCCAAAATAATTTCAGAGTTCCTGCTGCAAATGCTTCTCTCATAGGAAAATGAAGGTACTCAATTGCAAACCTTCTGGTGGATCTCAATGCCATATATTGATAAAACAAGAAAATTTTGAGAGTTGAGGTTTCTTCCTTGTGAGCATGAATCCCTCTTAGGAAATACATGATGTACCTTAAAGAAGATAATTTGTTAAATGTGAAAGTGAAGACCATTATAATGACACAAGCAAAAGATATCCTTGAATATTTCGATTCATAATTGCCTTGGAATTCGGTTTCTATTGCTTGAAATGGACCAGGAATGACCTGGAATGGAAAGAGCCACAGGCATAGCAGTGTATTTACAATTGCTGGGAGAAAAAGAATGGATATACAGGACGGGAGAATAAATGGAAGGAACGATGGGCAGAAAGAGACCTTGAGAAGTGGAAGGTGGAGGAGGGATCCTGTGAGCAAGAGAGACATGGTCTCCAAGAATCCTGCCGCACCACTCCCAGTCCTTGTCTTCAGGGCCACAGGGGGGTACCCCTCATGCCACTCCACTCCACTTTGCTTGAGAACTTTGAGGATTTCCTCACTCTTTTCTTTAGAAACTGCAGGCACCTCTCCTTTCAAACCTGTTATAAGGGAAGAGAGTGAATGTGATGGGAAAGGAAAAAAAGAAAAAGGTGGTATAATGGCAAGGTATTGCTCTTCAGGGACATAAACATTCTTAAATATAGAATGGACGGTACCACAAGGGGAAAGTGAGAGTGATAAGGAATTTATTTTTGCAATGTAACGAACCCCAGGGGGTCACAAGATATGAGGCAAGAATGCCTCACTAGAGCGTCGAAGCAGTAAATATGGTCAACGAGATGGGTGCGAGAGGAACGGCTAGCTAGCGATGCTAAGAGGAATCTCTTAGCATCGTGTTGAAGTAAGTACGAATGCTGATTGACCGACTGAGCTCTCTAGCATCCATGCAGTGTGGGCTAGAAAGCTGAAAATGCAGCAAATGAGCAATAATATCGGGCCTACTGGGTATTTTTTTGGGCCTACTGCTTATAAATTTGGTTTAAAAAATGTTTTTTTTTTCACTTGAACTGTGTTCTAGGACATGAGTGAAACCTACCCGATTTTTTTTACAGAAAATAAAAAATCATAAAGAACTCAAAAAAGAACTCGCGAGCAAAAATTCGGTACCGATAATAATTTTATTTGAAATGATTTTTTTGCTGTGAAAATGTGCCAAGCGACTGGGAAGCTAGCGAAAGTCATACCAAGAAGGGCGAAAAGAGTCATCCGGATAACTGTTCACCGATAAGTCCGATGAGTCCGATGAGCATTCAAGGAAAGATTATGTTCAGCATGTACAGGGATGCCATTTAAAATTTCCTCGAAGGTAACGCGCTCATCAGAGACTGTCAGCACGGCTCTAAGTGGTATCTCGATTGTCTCACCGATTTGTCACGGAACTTGGCCGGTGTCAATCATCGCGTCAAAATAGGGTGCTCGTAGAACTGCTCCATTGTAGTTCCATTCCGCACGTATGAAAGACAATATTTGATTCGAATAAGAAGATTTCTTGCAAAAGAAGGAGTCATATATATGCCGTTATCGAGTGGCACCTTTTACTACATTCCCGTCTCAGATTCCTTCTTTTCTTAATTTACATTTGTGGTCACACAAATAAATATTTTACATCTCTCGGATTAGATGCATAAATTAGATTCCAATCATGAAAATCATGAAAATCATGAAAAGGATTTTCCAAAGTCTCAGACCGAAGAAGCGATAACACTTAAAAATTCGGTCCGACCCGAAGATGGATGTTAGGAATTGCGGCATTGGACGGCCTTGGGGTCGGGTCCGGTCGGGTCGGGTCGACCGGGTCGGACCGTAGCCAGTGCAGTATTCCACCCCCATAATCAAGACAGATTGATAGAAACTAGGCCAAAAACAGGTTCATATTTATTGGCAAATACATTGGGAAATAGGATGTTCAGTAATACGCCAACACTGGTAAATGGGTTGCTAATGATCGGGTGAAGCTGGCTTATGATCGGACATTCCTGCTGGCCTTTCCTCTGGCTAGGTGTGACTCCCTGTCAAAAATCCACATTTGTTCCGCTAATAAGTCAATGATAACCATACTTTCTACATTGGAAACAATTTTTTTTGAAAAACCAAAGAAATGGTTCAATTACGCATCTTTGAAGAATCACCATTCGTTCCTTCGCAATTTCTACCCTCGTGCTTTTCATCTGTTTTGGTTATAAGTAAGGTGTTAATTCATCTATATCCATTTGAATTAATTAATTCCTACATAGATCAGAATGTTCGATAAATCGGAAGAGAGCAATAATGAGTTCACAGGACACCGATTGAATGCTACCCATAGGGTATCTCTCATCTGGATACAAGGAGATCTGTCTTCTCGCATGAAGTGAAGCTTGACTTGCACGCCATGATGTTTTCCATAAGATAGAATGAAAATGACGATTGCTAGGAAATTTCTAACTTTAAATTAGACAGTACACAGCAAAGCAGAAACGAACAGTCAGGTACACATTTTGTACGTTATGAGGTACAAACCTATGTCGTAAAATACGTTCGTTGAAAAGGTACAGAAGGTACACAAGTGTACCTTTCTTATCTCTATTCACATCGAGCTTGAGGGGGTTGAAAAACCGGCTCATGAACCTCAATTGTCGGCTTCGAAGGGAGCTTTAATGCCCCCTCATCCGGCACCACGTCTACGACAGGCAGCGACCTGTCACTGATAACACGCTGACAACATCTCATTTGGCATAGGGGAGGCCGGCTGTCTCATAAACAGTCTTCTGTTATCATGGGGACAATAGGTATCTAGACCACCCTGTTTTAGACGGGACCCTGTTTCAGGTTTATTGAAAGTTACTCGTCTGTCTCAAAGAAAAAAAAACTAATAAGCTGTTGGCTCACAATTCTCTGTTCCCGTACAAAACCCCAGCATTTAAAATTTTTCAGAATCATTGATTGCCATTGAAACATGATATTTATATTTTTACTAAATACTCCTTTACAAGTATTACGATAAGATAAATACAGGGAAAGGAAGAAAACTCTTCTCCTAAGGTCTGGTGAGTCCTGACTCGAGTTCGAAAGTTTGAGGAAACATAAACGCCATCTTATGCCTACTTTGAGTACTGCACTGAGAACCCGGACCTCCCTGCCACCAACCAGAGGGCCAGAATTTCCTGATGCATCCTCGGGTTGAGTTACATCTTCAGAGAAATGTGTCGAAGAATTCCATTCTCTTCCTCTGAGATCAAAGTGGAAAACCGTGGGGAACAGTGTCTAAGGTCCAGAGGACTCATTTCAATCGAATCAGGGAAGTGACCTGGTACTGCGAACACTAACTTCTTCTCACGCCAGTTTTTGGAATCTTCTTGGCTACATTAGGTTCACATAAGTTACTGCTGCTAAGTGCCGCCCAGTGAGGAGATGATGGATGGTGCAACTATAGCACAAGCCGTAGCCGTCTTAGGGCCAACAATAGACCAAGGAATATTCTTAACTGAGAATTTATCCAAGAGCCGCCGATCCACAGTGAGAAACTGACCGTGTAGTGTGCCGCGTGCAATTATGGAGTGATCGGCCCATACTGTTTCAGAAAGTGACGATGGCGACACGATCACCGTCAACGCTCCCCGCTTTGTCTAAATTTTGGAGTCGTTCTTGAATGTGGAGATTCGTCGACTTAACATTCCTGAAATGTGGTTCCAGCAGGATGGCCCACACGGCCCGGATGAGCATAAACGTCCTTTGCTGAATTTTTCTGGGCGCGTCACTTCCAGATGTAAAATGATGAATTTTTTGCGCAAATAAGAGGCTAAATGGTAGCGGGGCCCGGAGGTTTCGTTACAATACAGACGACATGAAAAACAAAACAAGTGGATGATCACACAGACGCACAATTGCGCATACCATGACCCCCAAAAAGTGGACTAATGTTTTGAGGTTTCGGACGCTTTTGGCTTTACTATCGACTAAAGGCAAACAATGAAGAACGTTATTGCATCATTTGATAGCCCTGGCCTTAAACTATGCAGAGATTGCAGTCTCAGGACGCTATCTCTTCCCAACAGGAACAAATCGAGTTTCAAAGTTGGGGAAAGCATTGCGCCAGATTTTTGCTCATGTACTCACTTGCAATATGAACAACTTTACTAGGACAAGGAGGACTTGATTCTATATTTAGTGTTGCCCTCCTTGGCTTCTAATACTGCAGTCACTCTTTTAGATCTCTTTTTTGAACAGACCAGCACAAACATCCCTTGGAATATTGGCCTATTTGGCCTCAATTTGTGGCTGAAGTTCGTGGATGCTTTTCGTCCAGTCGATGCCTTGGGCCGTCACGCAGCCCAAAGTCATCAAGCTTCCACTACCAAACTTGACTGAATCTTCAACATGTTGCGTTCATGCGGAACCCAAACATTGTAACGGCCCAGTCGGCACAGCACGAGGTGATTGGCCTGGCCGGAGGGTTGTCCTATATATGAGGGAACAGCTCTCTGGGAGTCGCCCTATGAAAGTCGTGGTACGAGCGTACCCACCTAGGTGTCAATCCTGACCTCTGACCCTCAAGGTATATATAGATGCGAAGCATCAGGTAGTGACGACAGCTCAAATAGGCGCCATGTTTAGTCCAAGCCCTGCCTGCCTTCAAATTCTCTCCCTCTCTACAGCCACGAATGTAAACATTTTTGCTCGTGGCAAAGAGAGGGAAAGCTAGGAAAACAGGCCTATCGCCTTCCCGAATCGGGACCTTTCAGGATTTCAGGAAAGTTAGTGATATCAAGAGGCGATTTCGCCCATTTCGATATCACATGTCGAGGTCGAGCGTTCCTTAATTTTAGGGCAG